ACATTAAGCACTTGTTTGGGAACTTAAAGCCTCTGTTTTGCCAATCATCCCAAAATGTTATGCAAATTTCAAGGGAAAAGCAAAATGAGTATTTTTGGAATAAAATATAAAGTCTAAAGAATTAATCCCTCTATTTGGAAACATATAATGAACAAAATATAGCGAGCTAATGACAAAATAGTGTCAGCATTTAAAATGCAATTTTTGAACAGTGCTTTAGACCCACTGGGTTTCAGAGGGACTTGAAATGCAGTTAACTACAAATACATTCGTGAAATGCAGATGTTCCTTTCCCTAGTGGATTGATAGCTGAGGATAACTTAGGTCACCGTATCCTTGAGTTTAAATACAAAACTGTAACACAGATAATTCTGGAATTATTTGCTATAGCAATATGAATATAAAAAACCAATGAGTGTGTTGACAGTCTATAAGTACTGGGAAAAAAACATATTTAATGATAGCTATGGGTCTCGAATAAGTGACTCCTAATATTAACTTAAGATTTAACACTGTTCCCCAAGGCATTCTCAAAACCAAACACCTTGTCCACAGAAGATCACAAGTGTGGTCTTAGTCAAGGCTGAAACCATCTTACCACTTGGGACTTCACAGATTTGAGCAGCAGTATAAACATAAATGTTCTGTTAACTAAAATGCTTGGATTTTATTACTGAATTTTCATTACTGAACTATTACTGAATTATCTCATGAACAGCAAAATTAATTAATAATGGATCTTTGTCCTCTGTCCCACATAGGAGTCCCAGTTTTGTTACTAATAATTCTCTGAATTTCTATTATTTTCTAAGATTCTCTTTGGCCATAGCTTGAGTTCCACTTTTATGTCCCTCAAATTTCTCCCAGATGTCTCAGTGTTCTCTGAGGCAATACACACTCAGCGTCTGCCCTTGGCTGGCTGCTCTGCGCCTGCTGATAGGCAATTGGAATAAGCAACTGCTGAGCTTCTGCTTCAGCATTTGTACCAGCAGCAACTCATCCCAGACACCAGTCCTCCTGAGACCTTATTGAACTTCAAGTTTGTGTGATTTCTATCCCAACCTCAAAAGAGTTCAGAAAGTATTGCAAAAAAATAAAGGACAGGTGGGCTTAACAGTTGCACAAGCTTGTTTCCTTAAGATTTCTGGCTGAAGTGAAAAAAAAAATAATTTTGTATTAGAAGATAAAATTCTGAAGTGTACTTTAAAGGCTGAATGTCTTGAAGGCAAATCAAAAGAACCTGGCACAATCATTTTCTGTGCTAGCCTCAAGGTTGGGAATGAAAACAAAAAATTAAATCCTGTTTTTCAGGTTTTTTTTGGCTAATATGTCATTCTCTTCTGCACATAGATACAAAGCATACATATCTTGTCAAAGTAGTAGTGTTCATGTAGCAGCAATAGCCTAAGATATAATCAAGGAAAGCTGTGTAGTTATTGAGTCACCCGAAGTATCTGGAAAAACCAGCAAGCATGCAAGTCTTTCTTCAGGTCAGAAATAGAAACAGTAAACTACAGACTAAATACAGGTTGGAAACAATTGAGTTTGGGATAATAAAATTATACTTGAAGAAATTGTTTCCAACTCTGTGCTTAACAGAGGTGTACTGTTCCTCTCTGTTTTACATATGTGAAAGCTATGAATGCCTTTTTATTTGTTTATTTCTTTTTCCAGCCATACTAGGTGTTTAATAAAATACACTACTTCTCTTTAGGAACATTCTTTGCTTCAGAGATATTTTTATATTCTACTTACTTCTTTGGTTTTCTTTTCATAAGAACAAGGATTTTTTTTAGAAATAAGTTGCTTCTGACAATGATAATAAAAAAAGCATCATTCTTAGTCTAGATACTTCTAATCTGAATTTCAGTATTGTAGCTTCTTGTAATAGTATTCAGTATTTTGTAACTAATGTGGTGTCTTTCCTCATAATTTTTTATATTCCTTTTTATATTGCCTCTGTTCCCTTTTGCTACAACTTCATTTCCTCTGGTCAGGAGAGCAAACCACTTACTGATATATTTTCATTTTAGTGTAATAACACTTGTGAAAAGGGAGAAGAAAGTGTAAATGAGAAGAAGAAAAATTATTATTTTAGAATAGTTATATATGGTGTCTGGAGTTCATATAGAACACATATGGGAACACATAATGTTAAAAAAGCCACATGTATTACATCCTGAATAGGCTGTAATCTAAATAAGATAAGACAAATATAATTCAATAGAGCCACAGTTCAAAGGGGACTTCCCTCAGCTTGCCAGCACTGGGAAAAAGGGAAAAAGGATTTCCTGAAAATCTTCTTTTAGAGGGAGACAGATGATAATAATAATAATATATCTTCTGTGAATAATAAACTATGTATACAGCAAAGAAACCTACTTTGGCTGGTATATAAACACCTATTTTCCAGCTTCTGCTTTCTGGATTTTAGGGAGACAAACTGCCTGTGAGCAGTGCACAGCACATATTCCTTCCTCTGAGAGAAGTGGCAATGACCAGTGGTGAAGGAGAATGCCAGAGAGAAGCCACTGACTGCTCTGGTGTGACACAGCCCAAGCTGCTAGAACAGGAGAGTGTGTGTGAGACAGTCATAGGGCAGAAAGACAGGGCAAGGAGATGGAAAGGATCAAAGGAACAAATAGTAAACAGTCAAAACTACAGAAGGATTTGTCAGCTGTAGACAGGGTTTATGCAGGTGAGGAACAAACTTTTATATTTCAGGAAGTATCTGTGAAGCCAAATATGCATGAGAATGCTATCAAAACAGTAGGTGAGAGATACAGAAGCATAGAATCATAAAATCGCTTGGGTTGGAAAAGACCTTTAAGAACATTGAGTCTTACCATAAACCCAACACTGCCTACTCCACCACTAAACCATGTCACTAAGCACCACATATACACATCTTTTCAACTCCTCCAGGGTGGTACCACAACCACTTCCACTTCCAGTAAGAGGTCTCAGGTATGATCTAATAGTTTATCAAGAAATATCATTATATTATATAGTAAATTAACCTTAAATTTAATGTAGTAAAATACGCAATAAAATTTAAAAAACTTTAAAACCTGGAATATGCACAAAAATATGGGTCTAAGAATGCATTTTGAAAACAGGTTATATTTTTTCTTTTATTATTATTATTTTTCCGTGTGTGAAAATTGTATAGTTTTCTTAACTGGAAATAAGATCAGCTAAATATATGAAATGTGAGAAGAATTAAGTACCTTAAATATTCTACTGTTGTTTATTTTTCCTTCTTAGAAAATAAAGTTACTGTACCCTCTCCTGTGCTTTGGATAGTCTATAAGAATACTCCACATTCCTCAAGTTAAAGATTTCAAAGTATCAAAACATATATAGATATCTTATTTCACCTCAACAGAGTGAGAAAAAATAACTTTGTGGTAGCCAACTTCTTAGCCAATGTGAGCTTAAGTGGACCAAGAATGGAGTAAATTGTTATAGCTGAGGGTCATTCACAGGCACTCTCCTGTCCAGCAGGTCTTCTATAGAGAAGATAATTTTAAACTAAAAACCTCCCTCTTTCAGTTGTGGCAGACACTTGACAGCAAAGAAATGGTCTGTTCTTCTTTGGAGATTAAGATGTGAGCTATCATCCATAGCTACCTTGAATGTGTGTAACCTAGGCTAATTTTAATTCTTATAAACCTTTTATAGTGTATAGCAGAATTCTGTTTTGACTTGTCTTATTGAAAACTAGGTTTAGCACCATAAGAAATGTGTTATCAAAGATTACTGTCAAGTATTGCCATCGAAGGATGTGCAAATACAGCACCATACTATTAATATTTTGTAATTGGAAAGTGATTTTCAGCTGATAACCTTGACTGCTCTTTCAAATATCAGTTGAACTGCTCAACACTCCTGCATGGTACTTGTTAGTAGGTTCATTTTAGAGATATTCAAACAAGCACAGAGAGCTATGAGCTCTATTAGAATGTATAGGTAAAATAGAATTAGGGGTTTATTATTGTGTGAAGATTCTACCAGTTACAATAATTACATCTAGATATCTTGCCAACTTTTTTTCTAGGGTTTTGGTAACCCATCAAGTGAACATTGGCTGGGAAATGAATTTATCTTTGCAATAACAAGTCAGAGGCAATATTCCCTAAGAATTGAATTAATGGACTGGGAAGGAAACCGGGCATATTCACAGTATGACAGATTTCACATAGGAAATGAAAAGCAAAATTACAGGTAAGAATCTATTGAAATTCTTTTGACTCTGCTGAGTAATAAATATTGTTCATTGTTTGCTTGTGAATATGAGGAAGGATAATAATAGGATATAAATTTTTATTGAAAGTGAATAAAGAGGGCAAACATAAAAGAAATCTGATGGAAGGTCAGAGTAAAGCTAACATTTCTGAGTACAAGGCATGCTTTATTAATTGTGCTGGCTTGTAGAACTGCTAAAAATTGTGTAATTTTAACATATCTAGGGCCATCAGAACTCACAACTGATTGAATAGAAAAAGGACATGAATTCTTCATTACAAATTAAAGGATTTCTACCTCAGAAACATAAAATTGATGCTGAAATACACACTGTGAGCAAGTTCATGTTAGTTTATTGAGGCAGAAGGTCTACCCATACAGACATGAATAGTGGTGTGTCACTAATTTTGAAGGCCAAATAGCAAACTATATCCCAAAATGTAAACTTTATTCAGATTTTGATATGGCCCTTGTCATCTGTAATAAATTTTGCCTCAAAAAAAGAGCATCAAAAGGACCTGAGCACAGGTTTTCCTTCTCTCCCTTGGCTGATAACACAGCCACTTGGAGATCCTTCAATAGATGAAGTTTAATGTGTTGATAGTCAGAAGCGTAGCCCTGGAAAGCCATCCTGAATCAGTCTAGGTCTCCAGGATATCTATATGAACAGGGAAAAAAAGGAAAGGAAAAAGAAAAAGAAAAGTAAAAAAGAAAGAAAAAAGGAAAGGAAAAAGGAAAAGAAACCTACTTTCATTAGAAAAAAGGTAGATCTTTTGGCAATATAAACCATATTTTCTGAACGTGGAAGTAATAGTGAAAAACTGATCCATGAAAATTGTTCTTGCTGAATAAGAAACTCAAAAGGTATGTATTTCAAAAGTGTAGAAATTAAATCAGAAAGGGTGTACAGGCCTGAAAGTGTATCATCTTGATTAACAGTTATTAATTATACTATCCATGTTCAAGTCACTTTTCCACAAAAATCAGAAGGAGTTTGACTTGGAAATAATGGTTTGGGTAGTTTGGATTCCTGTCCTACTCCACAGTAAAATTAAAGGCCAGGATGAGCTCTACTCATGCTGTCTTCATGGCCTCCTTATCGTACAAAAGAAGTTCATCTGTCTAGGGAATGGGGAATCAGGTCCATTCATATTATTCTGGAATAGGGAACATGAAAAGGTAAAAATACTTTGTCCATCTCTGTTGGGCCTTTGGCTTTCAGAGAATTCCTGGTTTATTTTTAATCAAATGTACTTGAATATTTAAAGAAAATAACTGAGGAGTAAAATGACAGTGCTGGAAATAATGAAGTGTAATCCACATGTAAATCTAAATAGTTCTTCATGCTTTACAAATGCACTAGTGCCTAGTCCAAGCAGATATTTGTCCAACAGACATTTTGAAAACCAGAATTATATGGGGTTCTTTTAGAAATTATTATGAGAATACATCCTATGATGTAAAAACTCTTTATTTTGCTTGCCAACATCACAATCTGTGATAGAAGCAGCTCCAGAAGGCAAGCCAAATAAAAGCCTGATTCTTGAGTCCTAAACAGCTGGCCAACCTTCAGAGAATGCTGTTTTCTCTTTATCTGTGGAGCTGCCATTAAGAATTTAAATGATTTCTCTGAAGTTGAAAACCAGAGTTCCCAACCTCCTGCTCTCAGTGCTTTTCCTTCACAGTTATCGGGCATTTGCCATGTTTGCTTTCAATACCTCAAACATAGAACAGCATACATTTTCAATCCTTTAGTTGCTGTTCATTTGAAATAATTTTGCCAAACAAACTGGATACTCTTTTATTTTGGAATCTGTTAGGATTTTACGCTAGTGACCCACATTAAATGTTGCTTCTTCATCACTGTTTGCAAAACTAAGTAATTATAGGCTGGCCACATTCTACATTAGTTTCAAGTAATACAAGTTCATTAAGAAATAATAACCAGTAAAAAGACACGTTTCCAAGCTGTTTCCAAGTTTCTAGGCGGTAGATCAAGGAGATTTGAAATAGAGAGGGGGTACTGAAATGAAAGAAAAAACTCGAGAAATGGAACATCTTTCGTCTATGCTATGGCAGTACTTGTACATTTGGAAGACACAAAAAAATTCAGGTTCCAGGTCTCACATTTGAATATTGTAAATTTAAAAAAAGAAAACAAATACCATGAAGTGATAAAATGCGTCTGAGAAAATGTGGAAAATAATTATCATGCTGTTTTTCCGAAATTGAGCCACAACATTATGCAAAGTTTGATTCAGACTGGATAACTCCCAATTGGTGATTTCAGAAGGGTTCTGTTTATTCTCTGGGCTGTTTGTATTCTCTTTACTACTTTTTATTAGCCTAAAGAATCTACGATTAAAAATAGTAATGCTAAACACATGTATGTTAAAAATATACTTTAACTTTCAAAATGAGACAGCCCCAAAAAGGTTTCTAGGAATGTAGAATAAAATCTATTTATCCCAGATGATGACTGCATAGAAGAAAGTTGAGATGAAAAGGTGGATACTGACATAGTAAATGTATAATGATAAATGATAACTGAAACAGGAAAATCGATGTTGCACCACATGTGAAACCTTCAATAACATGGAAGTATCTAAGTGACTGATTCCCTTTAGAACTTCCTTAGGCTTCTTATCTACACGAAATGATTACACTGAGGACTGTCTGTAAAACTATCTCTGCCAGTCTCTTTGCAAGTCTTAACGCTGTGGTAAGTAAAATCTCCATAGAGAAAGAAGAGTCAGATATTGCAAGCCCCACTTAGTGCAGAGTTTCTTAATTTAAGTCAGAGGAATCATTCATACAAGTATAAAAGCATGAGTTGAAAGAGACTCCCAGAAGACACGCAGCCTCTCCTCTTTTCCTGAGTAGACTTTACCTAGTCCACTCTTTATAGTCTGTTGACATTCTTTGATGTTCTTAGGAGCTGTACAGATATGACACACTGCTGCTCTGACTTGTGTCCTCAGACTGTCCAGAATTAAACAGGAAAAGTAATTGTGTGGTGGGATTTCAGGCACTACCCTTCATAATCCCACATACTAGTTAATGAAAGCAGATATACTGATGCTGGATTTTGAACAGTGGTAATTTCAGTGTGCACACACATCTGATTTTGCTACTCATGGTACAGAAGCAGCACTTCTAAACAAGGCAAGGGATGGAGAATGGGGGAAATACAGTTTTTAATTGCTGAGCTATTTGTACCTCAGAACTTTTAGAGAGATTGAATTTACCTTCACCTCCTTTTGACAATATATTGAAATTATTCAAATCACTTCAAAGCACTGACATTTTCCTGTGATTTGTACAAATTTAGGTAGCACAGCTTCCAAGCTCTCCAAAATACTGTTTCTCTCCAGGCTTTACTTTGGGAAACCAGATCAATTATTGGATGTAAACTAACAATTGTTAGCCTTTATGGGACGTGACAGCAGAGATATTTTAGTTCACTGAGTACAATCATAGCATCATAGGACATTTTGGGTTGGAAAGGACATTCAGAAGTCTTCTAGTCCAACCCTTCTGCAATGAGCAAGACATCTTCAATTTGGTCAGGTTGCTCAGCTCCCTGTCCAACCTGACTGTGAATGTTTCCAGGGCTGGGGCATCTACCACCTTTCTGGGCAACCTCCTTCTGTGTTTCACCACCCTCATCATAAAAAAAGTCTTCCTTATATCTAGTCTAAATCTACTCTCTTGTAGTTTAAAAACGTTACTCCTTGTCTTATCACAACAAGCCCTACTGAAAAGTTTGTCTCCATCTTTCTTATAAACCTTTAAGTATCGAAAGGCTGGAATAAGGTCTGCCCAGACTATTGGATTTTTTAGCTTTTGTTTGTTTAAGGGTTTGTTAATTTAGTTTCAGTAATAGTATTATTTCTCCCTGTTTTCTTAGGCAAACTAGGTAGGTATCCTGAAGTCAGAAGCCTTGATGTAATGTTAATCTTTGATTTTTTTTAAGGTGGAGACTATTGATTTATTTAATCACCACTGTTGAACTAATGGTGGAATTTGTTAAAAAAATTCTCACTTTTCTTTCTGTAAAGTAGAGAAAAAAATATTTTTGTACATTCTTTTAAATTGTATCAATTAAAATACTGTCATACGTAAAAGGAAATATTCTTTGAGAGTGTGATTTCTATGGGGACAGCTGTTTATGTGTATTGTTAATTAAAAAATCTGTTCCACAGACTATTGCTGTTTCAGCAGCGGGACATTTACAGACCATTGTCACTTTCCTCAGTGTACAAACCCTCACTTTTAAATATTGGTGTGGTTCCTTGTTATTACCCAGGCCTTTCAGTAACGCATTTGACATAAATAACATATTCTCTTGTGTCACTTTAGTAGGTTCTCTTGTGTCACTTTAGTAGGTTAAGTAAAACAAGGAATCAGCCTGACTAGTAAGTTTTTCTGAGACATCTGCTTAGCTTCTTCTGTTATTTGTATCACAGTAAAACTTTCTTCACAGGGCCCATTCTCAGATGGGGAAGAATAAGTACAGTGGAGGACAAATAGGAAATCTGTAGCAAAGAAAGAAAATAAACATAGATACTCTGAGACTCAGTTCTGTGCACAGACCCCAAACTTTTCTTTCCAAATATAAAAACTATGGAATAACTCAAAAAATAGACATGGTGCAAAAATTTAAACCTATAGTAATTAACTTTTCTTCGGAAACTTGAAATTCAATTTGCAAGTCTACTTCAGAGAAAATGTCCATGCAAAATCCTATTAACAAACAGAATGATATCTGTGGTATGCATACTTTCCATGATTTGAAAATATATTGAATATTTTTTTAATCAAACAGTGGTATAATATTAATAATATGGAGCAAAGATTTAATGTCTCTATGTATATATAAATATCTGGCTGAAATAACCTTATTCTATTTAAGAACACTGTGAGTCCAATAATATTGCATGTAGTCTAAATACTGGAAGTGCAGGGATGCAAACTGA